ATTCAGCGTCTCTGTACTCAGAGGGACCTCATCCTCCCCATCGGAATGCTCTGCTAAAAAAGAAATTCATTGTGAATTTCCTGTCCTGTTAAAAGTAACTTAATAATTAGTTACTTTGACGATTAGAAAAAAGGATACATTAAATTTCCTAAAAACAAAAACTTGACGTAAGGATCTGTCATTTAAAAAGTATTAAACTCGGTTTCTCCTCAAACCCTCAACGGGGCATACCATGTTTCTTCAGCCCACAACCGAACTGGATTTTACCCACTACCAAGCTAGAGTTCGCCCACTATCGAGCTGAATTAGCTCTCTACCGACCTGAATTAGCCCACTACCGAGCTGGTTTTACAATTACATCAGACAATTACCGAGCTGGCTTACATTTCACATTAGCTCACTACTGATCTGGTAAAACGCTTCTTACAGACATCAGGTTGGACTAAAACAAGCCTATTTTTAATATCATTAAAATACTTACTATATTGAACATCATCGTCAAATCATCGAATTAGTTTTTTTGATTTAAATCGCTTAATTTTCCTATATTCTTCATGAAAATGTCGGCCATTTTCTCCGTCATTAGACGTTGATGCCGACGAGGAACACCGTCTCTTTTTGATCATTTTCTTTAATTTCTTAACTTTTCTCAATTCCTTTACCTCATCGGAATCGGAAGATGATGATAAATCTCTTACTTGCTTTCTTTTACCCATTTTCAAAATTATTTCCTTAAAATGTTTATTATATAATGTGCGAAGAATGAATTCGAGGTTCTTTCATGCCACAAAAGAGAAAAAGTGAAACCATAGACATTGACAGGATGGAACTGGGGAACGGCGATGGTGGCTCCAGGTCGTGAAGCTTTGAACTTTGTAGAATAGATGGCGAAAGGGATACTACTACACCGTTTTCATCTGAAGAAGGAAACGCAAGTATAATTATTATTAAATCCAGCCTAATCAACGTCTCAAAAATATTTACGATCTGGCAACCTCTACAACCCCGGCGTACTGCGCAAGCGTGGCAGAAAAAAAACATTCTCGCCCACACAGAACACTTTTAGAACGGTAACTCCCATGTTAGAAAACGGTGATAGAATTTCAGCGCCACCTGGCGGACGTGGTTGATTTTTTTTTCCAATTAAGTCTATCAGGTATGAGGCCATATGAAAGAATAATAAAAATAAGAAGAGAGTAAAAGCATAATTAAATAATAAATTTATTAAAACAACATATATAATACAAATCCAATATTTAAAAAATGTAATGTATATGAAAGCTGTATTATGTATGAAGTAGCTGGATATCAGGCTGCTACATATTCCAGGATACAACAGCATCTTCTACGATACAGCTTTGCAACTGCAAAGCGTCATGAAACAGAAAATACACAGTATAAGTATAAAATAAATGAGTCTAGTACTAACTTTCCTTCTCGAAAAGAAGTCCAACATATATGATTAAGCTGCTTCATAGTCCAGGAAGGTCACAACTGTTTTGCACTGAAAAAAAAAATCCTAAAAAGAACACCATACTATTACTACTACTACTACTACCAGTACTACTAATTTTTTTTCTTTTTTTTTTTTTGGTAGTACTTTTACTTCTAATTATACTACCACTACTACTTTTTTGGTTTTCGTTTTTGTATTTATACTACTTCTACTACTTTTTTTGGGTTTTCGTTTTTGTCATGACACCCCGCACAAAAATCAATATTCACCTGTCATCTGTCATTTACACTCCCACCACGCGACTGCAGCGTCACGAGTGGAGGTGGTTGATTTTAATGCTACCCCAGTCTTGCGCATAGGAGTTCCCCCCTGCTCGCCCAAACCGTTGAAAAAACAACTTTTGCTAACAAGAACATTTAATGCATTGTTCGATGTATTTTTATCATTTATTTTATTGTTTTTGTGTCCCAATAAATAAGTGAAAAACCATCATATAATTATTATTAACTAGACGGTATTACTCTTTTTAAGTTTTTCATGGAAAAACTGGCGAAAAAATGAGTGCCCCCAGGCCCTCCTTATAGTAACTTAAAAGAGCATGGTTCTATTTCAACCATTTATTAACGACTTCCATTTTACAATAATCATGATTGTCAACGGTCCGCTCGCAGGGTGTCTTGTCAAAGTAGGCTACTGGCCTTTTACTACTTGACAATAATCATAGCATATTACATCTTCGACTACCGGATTTCAAAAAACAAAATTATTAAAGATAGAATCAAATAAAAAATACAGGATCCATTTAAAAAAAAAACGTTGGTACCTGTTCTATATAGTCGAAATTATTTTAGAAATGTAGCCCCTTTGGAGCTTTATAATACTGAATTGAAACCTTTTCTTAATCTTCTAGTTTAGCGGATATAATAATTGGACCACCCTGTATAATCGTTTCTAATATGATAAAATTGTACGCTGTAAAAAAGATGCTCATTGTATTTTTATGGAAATAATATACCTAAATGTTCAAATATTTATAAACAAATATATTTACATTGTTCTTACTCTTTGATTAAAAATTGTTAGAACTGATACGTTTACAATTTTAATTGTTTTCTGAATTTTATTATTATTTAGTAGATTTGTTTTCTAATTTTAATTATAATGAAATATTTTTATGTGCCAACTATATTGCCAAATATTCAATCCAATAATTTTCATTGCTCAAGTTTTTTAAAAAAATTTAAGCACGGAATATTTACTATACACACTGTCTAATTAGATTAATAGTATTTATACGACGGCAGTCAAAATTTGCGCAACGTATTTATTGATTTAACTTTTATCTCCCTTTCGTTCTTCCCCTACTGGGTTAGTGTGCGAAAATCTTAAGTTCTAATATATCACTTTTTGTTTACTAATTTAATTGTTAAAATTCGAGGGATTCTAAATTAGTGGATTTCACCTTATCGATAAAATAGACGAAAAACTGAAAGATGATAAGAAGTATTGAGACGTTGAATTTTCAAATTTGTAAAGCATTAGCCTTACTTAGGTTAAACCACGTAGGGAATCTTCACGGTGCTAGCAGTGGTTTTGAAGAACCATTCCATAGTTCACAAATTGTTTATACAATTTAAGTAAATATTTTTACTCCTTAATTCTGCCCATGTAAAAATATGTGAGGCCTCTTACCTCTTAAACATGTCCTTTAAAATATTTGTTTAAATTACCCCTTTAGCCTGCCCATGTAAAAACATTTTGTCCCTTTGCCCTTTAAACCTGCCTGTGCAAAAATATTTGAACCCTTTACATCTTAAGCCTACCCGTATAAAAATATTTGGTCCTATTGCCCCTTACGCCTGCTCATGTAAATTATATTTGGCCCGTTTATACCTTAAACTTTTCCATGTAAATATATTTGGTCTCATACATATCAAAATATTTGATCCCTACGTCTGTACCTACATTAGGGTGTTTTATTATGTAAGTAAAACAAATGTAAAATTTTTGCAGACTTTGCAGTGATGTAAAAGATATGTATGCAAAATTTCAAAAAGATTGGACAATATTTAGAGGTTGCACACTTTGACCAGTTTTGTAAAAGTATGCAAAAAATACGGCTTTTCAATTTTAAGTACTTTTATTGTTAAAACTATAAATCTCAACCTTAAAACTACACATTAAGATTATTAGGTAATAGGAAAAACATTTCTTATTTTATTCAACTTTGAACGATGCAATCCCTTGTTTACTTTGCTTGGTGACTTTTCTATGATGCTCCTCTACCCTCAGCAAAAATTGTTTTTGTTGTTCATCTCTGACCGATTCGTTAAATTTTTTTATTAGAGCAATTTCTCTTTCTGCGGTATCATTTACTACCTTAAGAACGTCCACTTGACTTCTTGGAGAATCATTGCAAACTATTCAAAGAACATTTTTGTTTTACTAGTGATGAGATCAGGTATTTTTTTTTTAAATGTTTACCGTCTAATCGTTTCATTTCCTTTTTATTTGGAGGTTTGGTTTCAAAATCTTTAGTCATATTTTCTTTTTCAGTCTGACTAATACGTCCATCCAAAAAATCTAATCCTACGTTTGTTTCTGACAGATACCACAGGTGTCTCTTAGCAACAGTAAACGCACTTTTTGACGTCTATATCTGGGTAAATATTTAGAAGCTGCAGCATATCCAAATCATTTTTTGGAGCCCATCGACTTAAAATTGCTTCGTGCCAAAAGCGAACATATATGAGGCGGACAAAATGTGCAACCCTTTTCATTCCTTTCAATTCTCGTTGAGGCATATTCAACTGTTTAGTGAAGAGAACAATTTTAAGTGCATACATTGCTTTTGCCATCCACCTTGCTTGATGCGAAGCTTCTGGGATCCTGAAACTGAATTCGTCTTGAGACCAACCTCCTAGGTACAAAAGAAAATATTAAAATAGAAATAAATAATGATTCGGTGTTTGCAAAAGTCTGTGACAACAAAAACTACGATTAGATGCCAATTCTCAAAAAAAAAAAAATAACTCTTTGTAGTCTTCTCTTGGATGACTTCCGTCTTTTAGGACATATTGTAATCATTTTCACTCGTTGCTCTTCTAAGCCTTGAACGGGACGTTCCTCATCCAGCATTGTCGTATATGACTTTTTATCAAGTGAAGCCCACATATTTTGAAACTTTCGAAAGATCTGGATGTCAGGACCACTTGATGGTATGTTACAACACTCCTCAAACACTCCTTTTAATATTAGTTCATGAGTGTGATGACGGCAAGCCAACCACAACAATGTTCGTCCTAATTCCCTTTCAATTCAATTCCCTTATATCAGTCCTGTATTAGACAATGTAGTATCAAAAGACATACTGATGATATTGTCACTTAGCCCAAATCGGTGCACTTTCCCCAATTGCTCACCGGTGCCTTTCTGGACAGCAGGTACTCTAAGCAAATGCTCAAAATCCTTGCCAGTCACTAGAACTGCAACTCTGTCTTCTAAAGTTTTGACATTCCCATGGGCAACTGAGGGCAACAATTTACTATCCCAATGCAAGACCAAAGAAGGAGGATTTTGAAAAAGCGTCCGCAATTGCCATTTTTCTTCTATTGGCCACCCGAGCTCGGTAAACGGTGGATGGAGATACGAAAATTTTTGAAACATCGTGGCCAAGGCTCTTTGCAGTTGCTATAAAAGAGGTACTTGCTTGCCTAATAGAGAGTTGTTCTCGATCCCAAGTAGACGTAAGTGTTTGATCCAAAGGTTTTAATCTAGGACTTGAACGTAATTTTTTCTTTGCCAGAGGCAAAAATTCGTCCTCTTCGTCACTAGGTGCAGATGTTTCCAGTATTACTGTGTTATTCATTTGAGCTATAGCTCTGTAATGTTTATTCTTATATGAATACTTTTTGTCTTCTTTTGTACATTTAGTTCTTATTTTGGAGACGAAAACATTGTCTACTCCAGTCATTGATGAACTCATTCGGTCTTCTCTTTGTGATCTAAGAAATGCTTTATCTTCTTCCGATAAGGTTGTCAATTCCATCACATTTTGCCAAGAAATATCAAATAACTCAACAAGATCACCTTTCCAAATCTGTCGTTTTACGTTAGCTTTATCTGTGTTTCTAGAGTTAGCTTTACCTAGATTTTGGAATTCTTTGTATAGCTTCTGTATACCAGCGCGTATATTCTCCTCTGTCTTAACAGGGATACCTGCTTTCCTCCACACTTCCTGTAGTTTAGTACTGGTAGATTTATTAGCTTCCGAAAGTGTTTCTTTCATATCCTTATGGTGATAAATAAAAACTAATAGTACTTGTTCCTTTGAAAGGAGCCGAGCTCCTAAAAACTCACCACTAGGCACATTTTCTAGCAACCAAATTCCTCTTTTGGTTCCCATTTTAAAGCTCAATTACCTGCAAACGATGAAAGAAATACATGTAAAGATCAAAGATCACTTACAAAACAAGTCAATATTAGAGATTTCACCAGTTTATGATAAAAGTGATCAATGTGTGCAACCCCTAAATATTATCCAATCTTCTTGAAATTTATCACTTAGACTCAGGGCGTAAGCAAAGTCATATGAAAATAAAATCTTTAAAAAATGAAACACACTAACCTACATCTATACCTACGTCTGTACAAGAGGATCGGCCAATGAAGATTCGAAGACAAAGTACAACAGACTATACGAGTCAAAAATGTCAATACAGAGAGTGCTGAGTGAGAATAATCTTCACATGGAGAGTCTTCCTGATCGACGTTTATCTTCATCGTTCTCTCGAACCTCTAAAAGAGCCTAAAATGCTGAAAGATACATTTCATTAATGCAATAATCGGCAACTGGGATATGCTGAGACGAAGGTTGGTTCGTTTCTATCCAGCTGTTAGGGCAACTAAATTCTTATTATCTGAACTTTCGGTACCTTTCTCCGTATATTTCTTGGCTTTACCTCAGTTTCCTACTTACTTTCTTTTTGTTTTCCCCGTACTATAATTCTTCCCTCTTTCGTGGGCTTAACCTGTTTCTATTTGTATTATTATTAAGTCTGTGTTTATGAGTTTCAATGCGATGGGGCGATGTGTATTTTCCTACTTTGTTCAACATACTTTCATACAATCTACGTTTGTCATAATGATCAATTGTATTTACTTCTTTATTTTTTATTTAACTGGGACCCACTCTTGTAAGCTCCCAGCTCCAGTGTGCCTCTACTGATCACACTAATGGAAATTTTAGAGAGGAAATCGTTTTTTTTCCTTCAGAATAACAGTGCTTCTAACCCAGAAAGGAAATTACGAATTAATGAGTAAAATACCTAAATTTATTTTTGTATCACTCAGAATGTTAATAGGCACGTTTCCTTATATGAATTTGTTATAAAATATGTATTTTAGAAAATCAATTACTTGCAAATTAACGTTGTATAAATGTACCACAATTTATCTGTTAACTGTTTTTTAAAATTTACAATGGTACGTTTTGATATTCCCGGACTAAGCAGTTTTTAATTTGAATGCAATTTTTCAGTAGGTATTATGATTTTTAATCACCTACATGATCTAAGTTTGTGTTATAGTGAAAAGGAAATGGCGCTTGTACATGCATGAAAAACACGGTATCAATGCTACCATTTACAGATGCACAGTTCAGTAACCGGCTACTGACCGATAACTGGCAACGTCGATACCACATCCTTTCCTCTCCTGCACATACGAACGCCATTTACTACCTCCAAAACAAGCGAAGGTTTTGTCTTATGCCAGCATTGTATACCTTAGTAACGAGTGTGACAACTTACAAAACAATAGTTGCAATATTATTTCTATTATCTATCAGTTTGTACTGTCACGTATCTAAATGAACAAAGTTAAAAAAAAGTTCAAAATTTTTATATTTTTGAAGAAGGGATGGCTATATACGGAGATGATTGTCCTAAATCAACTATTTCTGAATGGTCAAAATTGTTTAAGGGTCGTTCTGTTGACGTGGTCACATCCGATGTTATTGACAAAAACTGGCTTAATATTGGAAGATGCAAGAATAAAGAAACGACTGTTAGCAGAATTATTAGTAGTTTCGAAAACCACTGTTTCGAAATTTTACACAAATGCCTTGGAATGACAAGGGTTAATGCAAGTTGCAGCTGCGTATGCTTCCTTCTTTTCGTGTCTGAATAGAGACATGTGAACAAATTTTGACATACTGTGGAGATGAACCAAATTTTATTATCAATCGACTTGTCTAGAAGAAACCTGTGTCCATCATTTTGAACCTGATTTGAAACAAAAACCGATGCAATGGCATATTAAGGGTTTCAGTTCTCCCAAAAAATTTAGAGGAAAAGAATGCCAACTGTTTTAGAGGACAATCAAGGAATTTTAATGATTGATTAGCAGAATAAGGGTAACAGGTAACAGTAGAATATTATAGGAGCTTAATACATCGCCTCATAGAATCTATCAAGTAAAAAGGTGAGGATAACTGACGAACGGTGTCCGTTCTGTTGATCCACGACAATGGACAAGTGAACAAGTCAAGAGTTTCAAAAATAAATTTTAAACAAAAACAACAGTTAGGAAATATAAAGAACTTATAGCTGCTGTTAAATATAATTTTTCGGACGAGACAAAATTTTTTTTATAATAAATTAAAGTTTTTATTGAAATTTGAATTCAGAAGCAAGGGAACTGTATTGAAAAATAAATTTTTGTGCTTGATCTAGTTTTTTGTTTTCATGCCTAGTCCGGGGAAATTAAAACGACCCCTCGTATATTAATTTGTTATACATATTCGATATTTTAGCTCAATTAGTATTGATGTGTGCCAAATGGAAATATTACTGTTATTGTATGTTTATTATATTAAATGGTCGTGATGTGCAAAATAAATTATATTATCATAATTTACTGTTTTATTTCACCATCTAAGATTTCACCCAATATTAATCACATTTTTATAGGTTTTACAATGTTACAACTATATCTAATGCAGTAAGTATAAAAACAAAATATCTGATGTGTACAACACACGATTCTCCTGCATTATATACAGCCCAGCTAATCAAAAAATTTTTAGAATATGAATTAAAGATAATCATTTTCTGCGCCCACTTTATTCGAAAAATTTTCATTGCCTACGGTTCATTTTAGAGAAATCAAGTGCCTGTGTGACAAGAATTAATATCACTGGCAACTCTTATTCAAAGCTTAAGTTTAAAATGTGGGGTTTTTCTCTTATCCGTTTTTTAGTTATCGTGGATACAGAGACAGATATCGCGAAAATGGTCAAAATGGGCGTCCACTTTAGATCCATTTGAAGGTAAGAACGCCATATCCGTATTCAGACATCCAGTGCATGGATGAAGGATTATTAAGAGTTGCCGTGTCTTTGTAGAAATTTGGCAACATGTTTGCTTGCAGCGACCTGTGGGGAGGAGTTGTAGAACTAATCCGACTCTGTCGGTAATGTAGTTACCGGCAGTATTAACATCAACTCTTACTCTGTCGGTAATGCAGTTACCCGTAATATTATAATTTGAAAATTGGCGGGTTTTTTTAAAGGAGAATTTACTTTGGCAATTATTTTCTAACTAATACGAAATATAGCCATTCAAAATTTTGGTAGTATATTTTTAATTTTTAATGAAATAAATAACATGTTCGTGTAGCTAAAATATGTTCCTCTGGAGCCACTTTTTCAAAATTTAATCAAATTTTGATGACAATAAATCGCAAAGTTTTGTTTTTATAAAGATTTCAAAAATTGAGAAAATAATTAAATCAAATTTCGGAATAGCGGCTACAGAAAAACGGTAATTTCACTTTTACTTGAAGGTACATATTTTTCATTCACTAAAAAGTAAAATGAAACTATAGAAATATTTATGGTTCTATTTCGTATTGTTTAGAAAAAGATAATTGCTTAAGTAAATTTTCCTCTTAATTATAATCAAAATTTTGGTTTTTTATTAGCTGTTTGTAGCAATTATGAAATGCCAATAAAAATGTAAAATTATATGACAAATAATTATGAGGAATAAAATAAATATCATACAAAGTTTTATATAATTATATTTACTAAAAATTCCCAAGAAAAAACAAAAAATATATCAAAGAGATGGCAATACAAAAAGATATTTTTCATGCACTTCACACCCATACAAGCAAAGCTTGTGCGAAGCAAGAATGGCTATTATTATTATTATTATTTACTATGACGCTCCCGGACGTCTTACAAATGACTCTTTAAGAAAGTTACTCTAATATCACAAACATTACATTACTATTTCGGTACGTTAACTATCTTTGGCTAAAAAAAAATCAGAAATTGCACAACAAATAATTAATTTACTTGATATGAAAACTAATGCCTGAGTAAATAAATTTTCAAAATAAAACAACAAATTCTTCTTGAATCTTATCGGGTCGATGGTGTAGCGGTCTATCGCGCTTATATTCATTTATAGGCGAGTTTATGAGTCCGAGACTGCTGGGCTTCGAATCCCAGACCAGACCATGTGGATTTTTAATTAAATTGCATGGTTCGGTTTAGGATTTGATGTGTGCCGTATTAATGGAAATTCAATTTCTGTTGATATGACATGCAGATTATAAAATCGCCATACATTATCGTCTCGATGGTGGTGGGTGAGGTTTTCCGGTTTTTCCTCACCTGTAAGTCAAATGGCACCATCAATCATCCTTAAGTCGCCCCGGAGCGCCACGGCAAATAATAATAATAGCCGTCCCTTCCCCTACACAAGTCGTTCAGTCGACTTCAGGGGTTGAAATTCACTCGTAAGGGGGTGAATTAGGGAGAGTATTATTATTATTAGTATTATTATAAGACAACAGCAACCATCCATAAAAACTGAAACAGTAAAAAATGCAATAAGTTCAAATCATTTTGTTTGTCTTTTAGACATTGCCGCAGCCCTCATACTATCATTATAATACTTTCTTATTATTAAAGGTAGACAAGTTTTAACTAAATGAGAAAAGACGTATGTTTTACATGCTTTACATGTAAACCAGAGACGGCTCGTGGCCTAGTCTACGAGGAGACTGGCGCACCCTATATACTTTATACAAATATATATTTCTATTAAAATACAATGTAATATTTCTGCTTTTTGTATTCTAATAGAAACATATATTTTTATTAAGTATATAGGGTGTGCCTTTCAAAAGTAGCCTCAGTAGACGAGTCGCATCTGATGCTCTGATGTAAACCATTTAAAATCGACATGGTCTGGCAAAAAAGTTTAATTTTCTGAATTATTATGTTGTCAATATGACCTAAAAGTGGTAAAACAATTTCATGAATTTTTGAAAGAAATTCAATAACATTTCTTTGTACATAAATCAAACGTCTTTTATCATCATTTTCTTTAA